GCAGCTCCCGGAGCCGCCCTCCGTGGCGCCTGTGCCGGAGATTGGTGCCTCGTCTGCATGGGTTTAGGGTTTAGGGTTTAGGGTTTAGGGTTTAGGGTAGTTCTCTAAATTAGGGTCCCTTTTTTGGGTCCCCAGTATAGTACGGCACCCTTATAGCAAGGACCCCAAAATGGACCCTCTAAAGCCTCCACTTGGGGGTTTCCGAAAATAGGGGACCCTAATATAGTACCCTGAATAGTAGGATCCTTATTATAAGGATCCCAAAATAAGGTGCCTCGTCTTCATCCTCCTCCCCACTTTTTTGGAGGTTTAGGGTTTAGGGTCCTCCACTTTTTTGGGAGGTTTATGGCGTAGGGTTTTTTGGAGGTTTAGGGCTTAGGGTTTTTTGGGAGGTTTAGGGCTTAGGGTTTTTTGGAGGTTTAGGGCTTAGGGTTTAGGGACAGTCGTGTTGATGCCTGCTTTGTTTTCAGGCTGATTTCCCCGACCTGATCTCGACTGCTCGCTCCGTGTCTGTCTCTCTGTGTCTCTCTCTCTCTCTCTCTCCGCTCTCGCTCTTCGCTTTCGGGTTTCGTTTTCAGTTGCAAGACCACGAGCCCTAGGTCCAAGGTAATGCTGATGTGGTGCAATGTTTCCAGTTCCCATGTGATGTTTGCCTTTGTTTCTTTCAGCGCAAGCAAGCGGTAAGGTCACGTGGAAGGGAGTGTGTCTGGCCTTGTTCTAAGCCCGGTTTCAGTTGGGACTCTTGGCAGCACAAGGAGGCTTTCAGTATGGAGTTGCACATTCACCGAGTTTCATCTTCCAAATTTGTTGCCTGAAGGAATCTGCACCGACCTGCAGCGGCGGCACGCATGTTGCGGAATCAGTCTGCTGGGATGCCCCGCGTGGCCACCTGAGCCTCGGGGACGTAGCTCGGATTCGTGGGTGCTTGTGACCTTGAACGTCTGGTTCCTGTAGAAGGTCGCGAGGTCCATGTAGTTTGTGGCCTGCCAAGCAGTGCCGCATTTCCAGCTGCCAAGCAGCTCCAAATTTGCGTCTCACGTCATCAGGTGTCTGAAGGGAGTCTGGGTTGGTGTGAGAGAATTGTGCATTCATGCCAGTGGCTGCCGAGACTGTAAGTCACCATTTGGCAGTCGTTCCGGTTCCTGATGACCCTCGATAGCTTCCGGTGGCCTCCTCATTGATCTCCCTGACTGCCGGGATGTTTCCCTCGAACCCCAAACCCCGAAACCGCCAGCCGTCCCAACCGCGCCTGACTACGAGCTCGCAGTGTGGGGGCCATTTCAGAATGCTTTTTCCTGGGAGCTTCCTCTGAGTGCTCCCTCCAAAGATCTCCGGGGTTTGGGCATTTGGAGTCTTAGAAATTTTGGGGTTTAGAATTGGCTTTGTGCTGTAGCGTCTAACTCCTTGCAAGAAACTCGGGCTTCGGTCTTCCGCGGCTGATGTTGCCGTGCTTATTTTTGCTAGTAGGTGTTGGTGCAATGACATTCTCAATGCCCTCTGTGTGTGTGTGTGTCATTTCCATGTGTACTATCAGCTGCCCCGGAGCTGACACAGGGAGCTCCGAAATTCAGGAATCCGCAGCTCGTTCAGAGCCCACTCCATGCATGAAGCAGAAAAGCTCCCAGGAAGTCACAAGAAGACGAGACGACTCGTAGCAGTTTCAGTATCCCGAAGCTCGGCCAGGAAGTGGCGGACGTTCCGAGGCCATCGGAGCTTTTGGCTGTGCGGCTTCATCGTTCCGTAGTACCCGTAGTAGTCGGGTTTTTGAAAGATTCGCTTCCCAACGCCTCCGCCTGGTCTGGCTCAGACTGACGGCGGGGAGATGTAGGGTCATGATTCGGCATGATATAGGTCTGGCATGATGCGGTGAACTAAGCGACTCAAGGTGAGGCAAGAACTGCAAGGATGCTGAGACGATTTCGAGCACCGAGGCATCGCGCAAACCAAAGAGCAAGTTTCAGAATCAAGAAGAGTTTTTGGTGTGGTTCGCTGCGCCTGCAACAGCTAAGCCCACAGGCAACAAGGAGCAGCACATCTGCAGACAGGCAAGGAAGGAGCAACAAACTCACTAGATTTCTTCTGTGGCCTCGCTAACCGGCGCAGCGGTGAATGCCTCAGCCAAATGCTCTGGTGCACTCTGCACTGATCGTAGCCGCAAGCCATGCTCAGGTCGCCATGAGCAAGGCGAGTTCTTCACATCCTGCAATCACGCAATCGTGTTGTGCACGGCGACGGTCTTGGTCGGCCCAGGCGAACACTCCTCAAGCCTTGCGCTTGCTGGCCTACAGTCTTACGGCGGGGAGCTCCTCTCAATATTAAGCCCGAGAGTTGAACAATTGTCGCAGCGTGCCGGCGCGCAGGGCATAGGCGTTTTCTTCATCTTGCTACACCTGCTGCTGACCTATGCTTGGGCCCCGACAAACGAATGAGGGAGTGTCGCTACCAGAGTGTCTTGCGGTTGGATTTTTCAGCGATTTCTAAGGTACTGGGCAGCCCAGGCGTGGAGAGCGTTTGCACATGCGGATGCGCGTAGCTGCCGGAAGTTTGTCAGGCATGGTGACAGTCGTGCTGACTGTGGTGCCTCACCCAGATTGTTTCCTCCAAGTAACTTGCTTGTTTGCAGTGTGGTTGCCTTTCACAGTCGAGGTGATGAGTGGTGTCTGGATTTTCCAAAGGCATCACATTCCTGCAGTTTCTTCCTGACTGGCACGCCGACCTCCTGCTTCTTCCGGTCGCACACGCTGCGTCGATTGGAGGTCCCAGCAGTTCCGGGCGAGAAACGAGCAGGAGGCTTGCGACGTGCTCGGCGCATTGCTTGTCCCACGCTCGCATAGATCTTGCCGGCAAGGCACTCTTAATGCAACATCGCGCCTTCGCAGCAGAGGCCAAATGACAGTGGTTCGGATGTGGGTCGCTAAACTATTTTGCAAAAGCCAACGTACTTAGAAGCTGTCAGGAATCGGCACATTTGAGTGATCCTCGGTACAGCTTCCCACCTTTTCCCGAATATCGTGTGCGAGAGAGCGGTCGGACGAAACCAAGAAACAACTGTGCCTGCAGTACCTGCAGCGAGGTGGAAAGGGCATGGGAGCGGTGGCGGTCTGAGGCAGACAATCATGAGTGTGGGTAACCAGTGATGCTGCTGTTGTTATGAGTTATGACAGTTTGATCATTGTCATTTTTGCTGTTGCTATCATCATGATATCCTCTGTCTCGAGACCGTCAGCGGTTGAGATGCGGTTGAGCCTGGGCCAGCGGCCGTTGTCCAAGGTCTCACGCTCACGAGGCTGAGCGCCGGCGTCCTGCGACTTGGCAAGACTAGGACTCGGAGCCCCACAAAGCCAAAGTAGACAGAGTAGACAGTCAAATCACTACTTGGAGGTTCATGAGTAGCTATAACTGGGGTTATAAGGAGGGGCACTATACTTATAACCCATATTGAGGGACTTATAACCCCACTTATAACTACCCATGAACCTCCAAGTAGCCATCATAATCGGCAGTCAGGGCAAGTAGAGTAGTATCGGGGTGAGCTCGAAGACATGACCGGCCGCCGCCATGACAGGCCTCCACAGTGCCTGTCCCAATGACGCAGACCGCGGGGGTCGGGTCCCCAGTGAGGTCAACCCTTCTTGGGTCTGCCGCCGCTGTTCCTGCTCTTGCCGCCGTTGCTGTTACTGCTGTTGAGCTGCTACTACTAGATGACACGACGACGACTGTTAGCGGCAAAGAAGCGCCTAAACACAAATGGTTGAAACCTGCTGCTTTTGGGGACATTACCTTTCAAAGCGTATGCTTTTCGTGCTTTTGGGGTGATGAGTCTTTCAGCGTTGTTCGTCTTCTCGGTCTCCCGTTCGTTGGCAGGCAGAGAGCACGGCGAAGAAGCGAAAGAAGAAGAAGTCGCGGGAGGACGGCGAGGCTCGCGGATGGACGGCCGCGAGGAAGAGAAGTCCTCAGCTGCGACACCGGAGGAGACCTTCATCGTCGATGATGAGTTGGAGGCCGAGGCTCCCGGGCGACAGCTACAGAATGCATACCACCCGCTGCGCGGAGCCCCCGTGTCGCCCAGTTGGTTTGTGTTGTCCCGGCATCCCGTGGCAACCCTCCGCTCATTCCAGTTCGCACCATGCCTCGCTATTTCGCGATGGATGAACTAAACTGAAGACGATGCGAGAATGCAAGGGTCTCTGTCGTTTGTTCTTGTGACAAATGCGAAACTGCTGGCCACACCGTCCCGTCAGATCGTAAATGTGCAGTATGGAATCGCTCGATGACGTGTCGACGTGTCTCTTCCGATCTTCGGCAAGTCAAGTTGCTTCTACTGTCCGATTACACGCAAGCTCCATCGGCTCCCTGTCGCATTTCGATGCACACCTTTTGCTATGTTTTTTGGCTGACTGGATTGCTTTTGTTTGTAAGCCTCGTGCGAACAAGTTGATGATGCATGGTGTTGGACTGCTGAAAGGCGCAAGTCAGCAGCGCCTGCCGCTGTTCTGCGTGCTTTTTGCAGGGGAGTAGTATGAACATCTACACTTGCCCTTCGCATTTTTCGGTGCCTGTCATTGTATTCGGCCTGGTTTCACTAGAAGGAAGGCGAGGCAGTTGCGTGTGTTGACCTTCTGTATTCAGGTAGTCGAAGACCTTGAAGACTTCTTGCAGCACAGTCGCCTGCCGCTTGTCCAGGTCATAGTACGGTGTTCAGGGGTCTTTTCGCATGCAGTAGGTTAGGCAGTGGCCAATGTTGTGCGGGAAATGTCTGCTAGTTCGATGTGCCCAGTCTGTTTGGAATTGATGGCTGCTTCAGCTTGCGTGGGATAGCCGGGTCCACCTGGACAGGCAAAATCGCAAAATCTGATCATACTGACATATTGGCTATCGAGACGGCTGAGGCGACAAGCGCTGAAGAAGACGGCGGACGACCTCCGAGAGAGCCAAAAGCGGAAGGAGGCCAGCCACCTTCCAAAGCCGTAAAGACAAAGAAGACGGATCCACGACCCCTGCATTCAGCAAGCGTTTTTCGAAGACCGGAGACGGTGTCCAGAGAGCTCCTTGCGGAGGACAAAACGAGGGCCCCGCCACCGGCGCCAACCTCGGAGGCCGCAGCGACGGAAATGCCGACCGGGGTGGGAGAGGGGCCGGGGGTGTACCGCATGGTCTGAGTATCCTGGCACCGTGGCAGGCTCCAGAACCGAAGCCACAGCCCCAACTGAGAATCGATAGTGCTACAGAGCTTCTCGCGAAGAAAAGAGCCAGTCCGGGAGTTCTGCCGGATGCACTGCTCGAGACAAGTAGAGGGTCAAAATAGGCCAGTCACCAGAACAGTGCCCTATCCTCAACGAGTTGAACGCGGGCACCTAAGGCAGGCAGCTGCCAAAGCGCCCGCTGCTCCGGCAAAGGCCGCGCCAAAGGCCGAGTTGAGCCTCAAACTCACGACCACCTTGACCTTCTACCCATCCCTGCGGTGTGTGTGGAGTTCGATATTACAAAAAAGGAAGACTTCATGGCTTCGCGGCGGTCAGAACCTTGAGACTTTTCAGCTGGAGGCTGCCAACTCCAATGCCGGAAGGAATGGCTCCGCAACGAAGGCTCGGGCACGGAGCCTTGGGCGCTGGATCTGAGCAGTTCGACCTCGGGAGCCTTCCGGGAGCCTTTGAGGACATGAGAGCATGATCGAAATCGGAAGCAACAGGGGCCATGCACTTCCCAGCCGCAGGCTGCTCCGAAAGCTTTGCCACCCCGACCAGCACCTGGCTGGCATGCAGCGTTGGAATGGCCGGGGTTGCCGGAAGTTGCGACGCGAATTCTTTCTTGCGGTGCTTGGCTCTTGACAAACTTGGTGTGCAGGGGCCTTCAGTACTTCACGGTCCGAAGGTGTTGAAATGTCCCGAATCTGGAACGTGGCACCAAGGAGGGGAAAGATGCCGCAAAGACCAGCCGAGGCCCACGGACTCTTGCTTCCATCTTGCTACACAGACGCTCCCGCTTAGGGGCTTGGGGGATCTTAGGGGCTTCAGTCAGCATCTTCCAACGTTGCACCGTTGCCTTTTTTGTGGCATGCAAGTGTTCCTGGGCAGGCAAAGCTACTGGTGGTGGTGCTGCTGCTAACGGCCACAGCACTGTCGGCAAGGCGGATGTCCCGATTGCGGAAGCTGTTGAAGACTGACGGCTGCCATCCGAGCCGGATCGTGTCCCTCAGCTCGAGATGTCTGACCTCGAGCGCCTGACAAAAGGATCTATTTAAGGTAGAAAACTACTCTACAGACCTTGTTTTGGGGTTTCTGTGTCAGTTCCCGACACGTCGTCAGATCCGACGAGTGCGATGTTTTGCACGATATAGCGGCGCTGCATCCCCATCATTTTCGACGGGTTACGGCATCGTAAGCCCTTGCCACTTTTTTGAGTCAGACCAGGCCTCATTTAGCATCCGCCGTGCTGCAGGCAAGCCTTCTACCTGCTGGCAAAGGTCCTGCGGCTCACACAGGTGCCGGCCAGGGTCCAGCACATTCTACTGCATCATGTGACGTGACCTGGCAGGCAAGGGTTCGAAAGGCCCAGCAGCCAATACCAAGGCAGCCAAGGAGTTCAGCCGAGGTCCCTCTCCACCTATGCACGACAAATACGTTTGCAGGACCCTGGTGATGCCAACGACAGCGCCAAGTCCTTCAAAGGCAACTTTAAACGGGCAGCTGTGAATCTCTTGGGTTGCGGCCTGCGGCCGAATATTTGTAGTAAGCTCGGACCTTATCGCAGCCCTTGCAGGCAATGGCAAGTCCAAGAGCAAGAACTGGCAGGACAGAGTGTGAGAATGCTGCATCCCGCAGCCATGTCTCGTGCTGCCATGTTGCGAGGATGAGTGGTACGGTTGGGGGCTTACGAGAGAGGTGTCTTCACGGGTTGTGACCGGCAGGAACCCAGCAAACCTCAGAATTACAGCATGCGGCAGACTCTTGCAGGTGGTGGTGCCGACTCGTGGTGGGGAGAGCAGGTGCGACAAGGGCCATTGTGCCAGATGCCGGTGTTGTGGCCGTGTAGCATGTTGAAGGACGGTTGGGGGAGTGGCTGGTGCCAGCACCTTAACGCGAGAGCGAGAGAGAGAGAGAGAGAGAGCTTGGAGCGGCGTCTGACAAAGTGAGCTGCTGAGATGGCAACGGAGGAAGCTGGTGGGTCCTTCGCTAAGTGCCTGGTTGCAAATCCTAGCTTTCCGGGATGTCATTGCAAGTCCCTGGCCATCGAGGGCGGTCAGCGAGGCCACTGGAATGGCGACCTGCTCAGCGAGGGCAAGCGTGAAAGGAGCAGTTTGATCGTAGTTACCTCTCTTTGTAATTCCTTGATAAGCATGTTGGAAACAGTTGCTAACTTTGCCAGAGATCGGACCCTTCCCGTGAAGTTTGTTGTCTTGTACATCAGATCAAGTTTGAGAAAGCTTGGAAGACTTCATCAGAGCAATACCCGAAAAAAAGGCAGTAATAGGGTTGAAGGCCCATGAATTTGGGTTTTAAGTGTCTAGTGTTGTATGGTCTATAAACCCTAAACCCTATAGACTCGCTCTTGGTCTGTAGTAATTTGTCTATGTGGGTGATAAGCCCTGGCAGGCTAATCCTCTTGCCGTGTCCACGCAGGAAGCTGTGCTGTGCTGGCCTGTGGGGATGAAGGTGGTTTTAGGGTGTAGGGTTTAGGGTTTAGGGTTTAGGGTTTAGGGTTTAGGGTTTAGTGTATTTAGTATGGTCAGGGCAGGTGGTTTACGGATCGTAAGGGCCGGAAGCCGTTAGCTAAAGCCTCGCCTCAGCCAAACCTTGCGCTCGACCTAACTTGACGGCCAGGTGAAAAGCAGTGTTTTAGAACCCCCCCCTAAACCCTAAACCCTAAACCCCCATAGCATGGCGAAGCCATTTTTGGAGCAGAGGTTTTGGCCGGGCGCCGGCCGCCAAGCGCTGGACCCCTCGAGGCGCAGGCGCTGAAGCGCTGAAGCGGGTGGCTTTTTTGGGGGTCCCAGGAGTTCGGGTTTATGGTTTAGGGTTTAGGGGTTCAGGGTCTAAATTTCTTTTTCAGCTGCAGATTAGGGTTCAGAGTTGAGAGTTTCGGGGTGTTTTAGGGTTACAGTAGGGTGTCGAGTTCCGGTTTTATCAACTTGGCATTTGGAGATAGGGAGCGAGGCTCGAGGGGATTTTGCCGTATGGCAGGGTCCTATGCAGTTTGAATTGCCTGAGGGCGGGTCTCCGGCTACCATCCATCCTAAAGCCTCGACCCTAAACCCTAAACCCTAAACCCTAAACCCGAAAAAAGGTCCACAAAAAAATTCCCAAACCCGAAAATGTTCCGGCTTTCAGGGTCGCGAGGTCAGGGCTCAGGCCCCGTTGCACTGGCTGTTTACGGCTGACCATCCAACACTCTGACGATTCCCTTCATGCTTCCCTCCCCATGCGCCTTCCGCAGGCCTCTTAACGATCACACTGTTTCGGTTGGGGATTGGGACCTTGAGGCTTCCTGAGGGCCTGGAGTCATGGTGAAGCCGAGCTGGCTTTTGTCGGGATGGCCCGGTTCGATGCAGTCCCAGTTAGAAACCCCCTGATCGCAGGTGATGCTGGCGGATCCGACGCCTGGCAGGAGTAGGGGAATGATCTGGCCCAAAAGGTGGCCAAAACGGCCGACGGCATTTTCTCCCAAAGTGGCAGTGCAAGATGCGCGTTCCACTGGTGGGCTTCATCGGATGGCGTGAGGACTTTTGTTGCTATGTTTGTCCTTGCAGCTTCCCACCATCCATGTGCATTTGTGACAAGGCAGATTTGCCTAGAAGCAGGCATGTAGTGCTGCAGAGCATCCGGAGACTGAGGCGCAGCAGGTCTGCGCCCAGCTTGTAACCTAGTGCTGTGTTATTGAGGCTTGGAGTGGATTCCGGACTTCGTCGTTCTCTTGTAGTCTCGTATCCCGCTTTGCAGCTTCGCACACGCCAGCAATACCGCCGCTTGATGGCTGGACAGAACCTGTGTAGTAGTTGTGCTACTTGGAGTGAAAGATTGAACTCGGGTTCCTCGTCCAGCTGTCCTCTGTCGCCATAGCAAAAAAAGGGGGTACATGCGGGGATGCGGGGGAGCATCTGAATCTTCAGCTCCTGCAAGTTCTACGATTCTACCCTCGACAGCAGGCTTGTCTGGTGATTGCCAAACTGCAGTGAGTCGTCGCTGATGCATGTTAGCCTTGGCTGTCCTCTCCAGGCACCCAGCTTCCGTCACTGCAGTCGAGCCCGAGGTTGTCGATGAGGCCTTGCATCGGCAGAGCTCCCAATCCCAAAGCTCTAATGGTGAACTGATGTTCGCAGTGGGCTTTTGACCTCTCATGAACCGTGTAGCTGGATACAGGTCGCGGTTTCAGAGAGAGTGCGTCGCAGCCGGAGACTCCCTGCCCGCTTGCACCGATCATCCAGCTGGCGCAAGCAGCTCCATGTCAGAGCCACATCGAGCCACATGGAGGTAGTTGCATCCTCGAACACACAGCTGTAGCTGAAGAGGCAGACTCTATGGTTGATCAGCCTTGGACAAGTCAGCCACCCAACCCAGACAGAGATCAGAAGCACATCTTCAGAGTTTCCGGGGCATTCGCTTCCGCCGAACGTCGGGCACTTCGAGGTGCTGAGGCGCGTGAAGTACCCTCGAAGACGCCAACAACTCCCGTCTTATCGACTTGTTTTCTTGGCGAGGCGATGGGCGGCCGATCGAGCCAATGCCTGCCGGAGCCTTGTGGCTCCCTTCGTGAGGATGTGCAGAGATCGACATCTGCGTGGAGCACCGAGGTGTGATACAGACGAGACCGAAAACGAGGCTGGAGAGCCTTCCAAACGAGTTCAAAGACACAGAGTAGATGCGCTGAGCAATGCTTTATCGCTGAGTGGGCGGAAGTCACACATTTGCTCCGTTGCTCAGTTGAATGCTACCGTTTTCGACGAGAAGAACTCTGGGCCGAGTGAAGTGAGGTGCCAATCGGGATGGGGCGCCTGCGTTCGAAGTCCTGCGTCCAAGAAGTCCGAAGATCTGAAACTGGAACGCCAGGCCTGTCTTCACGCCTGGCACCCAGATGTGGAGTCTGGGTTCCTTGCTTTCTGCTCGTGTCGGGATGTCTCCGCACAGCGTAGCATCGCGGCTGCGAGTCGTTCGAACGTCCTCGAGGTACGAAAACGGGGCCACCTACCAGGGCTCATGGTCCAGACCCCGGAAGGTTTGAGAGTCCTGTTTCCGAGCGAGTGGAGGCAGTCCCCGTGCAAAGCAATGTTTCTCACCAGTCCCTGTTTTCGCAGCCCCATTGCCCAGTGGAAGCAGACCCGTGGTTTTGCCCACTGAGTGAGAAAATCGCTAAGCAGCGAGCCACCTCCAGCTCAACACATCTTGTCCTCAATGAGATTGCCTGCTTGGAGGTTCATGGGTAGTTATAATTGGGGTGATAAGTAGGGTACTTACACTTATAACCCATATTAGGGGACTTATAACCACACTTATAACTACCCATGAACCTCCAAGTTCGGCTAGCAGCTGGCTCGCACGCGCTTGCACGGCCAAGGGTGGGCGACCTGCGGCAGGGCCATGGTGAGCAGGCCGGATGCATGCCACAGCAGAGGGAGCAGTGACGGAAGAAACTGAAGGGCACCGGCGGATGGTGTGCAAGAAGCTCCTTTAAGTCTCAAACCACTATCGCCACAGCATCTCTGATCTCATAAGTGCTCTTACTCTTAGCTTCATGTCCACACGTCAAAGCTGCTTCGACTCGGGGATAGACCAGCAGAGGAACATTGGACTCGTGCTGTTGTTTCCGGAACCTCTGAACCTCATGATTTCACTTCTCAGCCCCCCGCGCCAGTTATGGACCGATGGAGCCAGATACGTTGGTCAGTGGGTGCGCCGCTTCATGGAAGGGCAGTTTCCTCGCTGAGCTTTTGACTTCGCTGGAATTTCTCTGGCAGCAAGACCTGCCAGTTCAACGACAAAGCCCATGGCAATGGACGTTTCGAGCACATCGATGGTGATGCACGTGGCCTAGCGTACGAAGAAGCTTCTCCTCTTTGGACGACATGCAGCCCAGGTGTACGAGGGTCAGTGGAGGGATGACAAGGCCCACGGCCAGGGAATGCTGGAATCTCAGTTGCCTTTGAAAAAGCCTTTGGGTCTTCTCTGGCCTCGACACGGTGCAGGTACCAGCATGCTGATGGCTCCAAGTACGAGGGCCAGTGGAGAGACGACAAGCAGTTCGATCCCAAGACCGGAACGGACCTTCGCAGTTCGAGAGTTCGCCCGCCCGTGACTTTAACAAAACCCGAGCAGCAGAGCAGCAGAGTTCCTCTTGCAGGCACGGGAAGGGCATCGAGATTTGGCCCGACGGCGGCGTCCTCGCAAAAAACCGGGCAAAGGCTTCTCTGCGCTTTGTGGCCGCGGCTGGTGCCCCCAGGTGCCAGATACCAAGGGGACTATGTCGCCTTGCTCTCAGATCTCGTTTCACGAGGGGGGATGGGATTCTGTGGGTGTTTCTCACGTTGTGAGGATGGCAAAAAGAACGGCCACGGTAGTTTCATGTGGGCGGACGGCTCGAGCTACGAGGCGCTGAAAGCCGGTTCTGTTCTCTTGGCGATTTTCTTGTCCCTCCACGAGTTTCCGGCCGCGGAAGAGATTGGCTTCTCAATGGCAACCTGCTGCCACTTGTCAGGGTGGCTTCAGTAACAACGAGATCAACGGCGAAGGGCTGTACATTTGGGTACGCCTGGCCTGGCCTGACCATGTGAGATAATAATAGCAGTAATGAATAATAACAATAATAAATAAGAATAACAATAATGATAATACTAATAACAGTAATGATAATAATGATACTAATCATAGTAATAATCATAACAATAACAACAGTAATACCACAAAAATAATAACAGTATTAATGAGTTCTGCGAGCCTTGGTCCGTGGGTTTCCGGAAAAGAAGCCCCCAAATTGGCAGGGAGATCGGCGAAGATACGAAGGCCAATGGGCTCGCGGCTCAGGGACTTTGCCCTAAGGGCTTTAGGAGGGACCGTTAATGGCGACCCTTGCAGGTTATTGGGGTTAATAGGAAGACTACCTGGCTATATAAGGGGTATATAAGGACTATACAATGGTTAGTATTTGCTTGAATCGCGGACACCCTTCTTGCAGTGCAGCATCCCCATGCAGTTCCCTTCACGCAAGACCTGATGTTCTGCGATGGTCTGCTAGTTTTCACGGATCTAGCACGGAACTGTAGAAAGCTGATGCGACTGTTGCAGTTGCACCTTGAGTCTTGAGGGAAGCACCAAGCTGTTTTCGCCAAGGTCAACAACCGCATGCACGGCCACGGCACCTTCACCTGGGCTGATGGAAGAAGATATGCTGCTCTCTTGCATCATGGAAGCCGGTTGCATCCAGAGCCCCAGCGTGGAACCGAGCATCCCAGGAAGGGCAGTACAAAGATGCCTGCGGCCAAGATGGTGTAAGGGATCTGGAGAAAGAGGGATGCAACAGGGAGTCTGGCATCATCTCTATCTCTCGCTGACGTTCCTGGACAGCTAAAAATTAGGGGGACACGGAGAAAGAAGACCAAGGATGCAAAAGATGGCCATGGCCTGCCCTTGACTCAGAGACCTTCTCGAAAGCCTATCTTTCGGTTGGAGCCGGTCGTCTTCTGCAGTGCTCTGCAGAGAAGCGTCTGAAGCAACATGCAGAGAAGACTAGAACAGAGACGAGGGATGGACATGGCTTGAGGGAGGGACGGACAGACGGACGACGTTGGTGAAATGGTTCGTGCGTCTTGTGAAGCATTATTTGATGGTTGTGGTTATGGTGATGCTGCTTCTAGTGCTTCTAGTGCCTCACCATGATAATTAGGTTATACGTGGGCTTCCGGCCATCCATTACCAGGTTTCTGTGGCCAGATGGCCGCAAGTACGATGGCCAGTGGCGACGACTGGCTCGCTTTGTACTTGCCTAGCGACCAAGGCACTGATTTGAGCATAGCAAGGTCGCAAGCACATTCACCTTGTTCACAAGTTTTTCTCAATGTTCGGGTTCGGAGATCCGTTGGGGCTTTCAGACGAAGCAGCTCCAAGCCTCCATAGGCTTTGTGGTGCACGAGTGAGCCTAGGGACCAGGGAGTAGAGCGTCGCTCCCGTCTCAAGTTGAGCTGGTTTGCCATGTTCATGTTACGCACGGGCTCTTACCTGCAGTGAAAAAGCCCGAAGAGGCTTGGAAGTTTTTTACATCTCAACATCGACTACCCAGGCTGCAATCATCCTAAACTGTGGGACAGTGATGCCGAACCGGTTGTGCTCTTGAAGGTCTGGGCATTCGAGCGGCCGCATTGCCTGTGTGAATGGTGGCAAATAGCTTTTCTCGAACAAGGGTCCCGTCTCGTTTGGCGCTTCGAGGCTTCTACAAGTTACGTGCACGCTGCCCGGAAATCTAGCAGGGCCTGTTGATTCCTCGACGGTGGTTTGCGAAAGACCGCGTGTGAGTCATGAGTCCGTCTCAAGGGTTTCCATGGACTCTGCCAGGAGAGATGGCAAACAGCACGGCAAAGGCTACTATGTCGGTTGCTCAGTGCTACCTGCTTTGGCCTATGCTTAGAAGCGCAGCAGCCACATGCAGCCACTCAGAGGCTTTGCATGAAGCATCTCGCAGAGTTTAGCTTATCCACAAGAGGTTTAGGGTCAGTCCCGCAAGCTACAAATTTCAGGGCTTCACTGGAGAGGTCCAAGTGCTGCATGCCTGGAGTTACAGAATCCCTTTCCGACCATGTTCCGAGAAGGTTTCAGCTGTGCAAACCCGGATTTGCGGTCTTCTTGCCAGGTGACTCTTGCGCAAGAGAAGAAGCATGGACAGCCGTCTTGCGAGTTTTCCTTGGTGTGGTTACACATTCCCGGCAGTACTTGCTTCAAGCCAACTGCAGGGCATAGGGGGAAACTCGACGTCGCATAGCCGTCCGCGAACCCAGCCATCAGAGACTTGCTGAGGGGGAAGTCTGCGAAAGCCAACATTCGACCTCCGCACCTGCAAAACCAGAAACATTACCTGCTACCCACACTTTGCGGCAGGAGTTTGGGAGGACGGACGCCGCATCCGCTGGCTGCACGACGAGGCGGCAGGCAACCACAACGCCGTGTGAGGCGGTGAGGCCTTTCGACTTGATGGGGTTATTCAGATGTTATTCAGAGTCAATCTTGTTGGGTCGGAGCGAGTGGGTTCAGGCAGGGCCAGGGGGCTGTGGATTTAGGATTTAAGCATCTCCGATTGGGGACCTGGCCCCATGGCACGGAGTGCTGGAGCCTTGTCATGTCGATCAACCTGCTGGGTCGACTTTTCAAGTGCGACCAGGACTTTTGGGTTGCTGCCTACGGCAGGTCACGAAAACAAGGTGCCCAAGGCCCCTGTTAGCTGTCTCCCTCTGTGTCATCGCTGAAAGAGCGTTCTGCCAACGCAGTGCCTTGAGGAACTGCACGACGCAGAGCCAGTAGCTAGGGCACGAAGATTTAATTTTTTTGCATGGCTCAGAGGGCGCGCGCTCTCCCGGTGTTGCGGATGGAGTGTGAAAGAAAGGCGCGATCGAGGAGTCATGCGATTTCATCTGCTTCCGAACAACACTGGGGGCGGCCGGTCCTTGGGGGAGAGATGTCGCTGTAATCTCGGCTTCAGGATGTTCATGGTGGCATTGACAGAAGCACTGCTTGCACATGCTTGCACCACAAGCACTTCGCAATCTGCTGTAGCCAGAACTAGCTGTTTTCTCAGCCGTTCCGGTTGTGGCGTCCACCCTCCCGAAATTCTAATTGCACGTGCCGCCGAAGAGCACCCAGACGTCGCGCGGCTTGCAAGGCAGGAGAGGACCCCTCTCCTGCCGCCTTGAACAGCCCCGTTGAACAGCCTCGAATGCTGCATATCTGTGCAATATTTACTTGCCGCGCTCCCTGGAAAGCCTACTGGGGTGGCTGCCTGCAAGGGCAAGTCTCTTCTCACCCCCGCAGTCGCCGAATTTTTTCGCAGCAAATGCCTGGTTGATGCCGATGCTTTCGTCTTGCCGCTGTGGCTTTCGCTGTGGGTTTTCAAGTTGACAGACGCATGATCACTCTTGGACCAGGTCTGCGTAGTTTGCAGGTATGTGTTAGCAATGACAGGTGCACTTTGACCATCCATCAACGCTGAGGCCCCATGGTTGCAAATCGTGTGGGGCATCGTTGCTCCAGAAAATCAGCAGCAAACCTGGGCAGGTCTCCGACTGAAAGCGGCGCGACCTTGACAACGCAAGGGTGCGAGGGGACCTTGTCTTGCGCAGAATCGTGATCTGGTTTGCGTTTGGTGCAGCCTACGCCTCTAACCCCTCCTATCGATGCATTGATAGAGATATGTGGACTGATCGACAGATAGACAGATGGGCAGATCGACAGATATGGACAGACAGCGATCGACATAGATACACACACACACACACACACTCACACGCGCACTTCTGCTCATATTATACATACACAAAGTAGGCGGGAATGTAAGTCTATAGTCTATAGACTTACAAATACCTAGAACATGCTGCGATCACGGAGTTCCATGCTCAGACGCACAACAGCAACAAACCCTGGACATTGAAAGCCGAGTCCTCACCAACCTACGTGCTTCCGTGCCCGCAAGCTTCTCGTCCCGGAGGTCGTTGGCCACTTCCGAGGAGCCTTCCTCACAAGAGTTCCATAAAGTTTGGTCGGGGTTCGAGTAAAGGAGGTCGTTGTGTGCTTGCCACAGGAAGTCGCCTTTTGCAAGCCGTCTATTGATATCGGACTGAACTCATTGAAGCTCTCGAAGTTGTCTATGCCAGTCGCAAGTGGTTCGCTGCAGCTTGAACTCAGCAGAAGTACGGAACGAAATAGCTGCAAAAAGACGCACCTCATAAGCTAGACTGCATTCCGCAAACCTCCGTCTCACCCTCCACCGCCGTCCCTCCACCTGCATGAAGAGCGATCCTTGAAGAAGTCGGCGAGATCGCCCGGAAGCCTAAAACCTGCCCAAACCCACCGCTGAAGCGCTCGGGGCCATGGTGTTGCAGACCTCACGGCCATGGAGGCGGCCATGGAAGCCATTGCTGCTGACCTGGTTTGTGTGTCCCTCAGGTCCTCCGAAATCTCCCGAAGTGGATGAGTCCTCTTTTCTTCTAGGCCTCAACATGGGAGTTTCCGAAAATAGGGGGTACCTTATTTTGGGGTCCTTATAATAGGGATCCTACTATTTGGGGTACTTTATAAGGGTCCCTATTTTCGGAAACCCCCACATACCCACGCACACAGACACGCTAAGGCTAAGGGCCCTTCCCAAACCCAGCCTTCGTGTAGGATGCCGTCGCTCAGGCCTCGAGCCTCTCGGTCTCGGAAGCTGCGGAGGCCAGGCCCCTCCATGGCCCTCCCCTTCTTCTTCTTCTGATTATTATCATTATCATTATTATTACTATTATTAGTACTATTATTATTAGTATTATTTTTTAGTATTATATTATCCCTTCAGGCAACCCGAGCGGCCTTGGAGGCACGTGTGGCGACCTTGCGGGAGGACAGGCGGGTGGATCGGCGTAGCCACATATCCATCGACTGGTAGATGGTGCAAATGGGCCCAGGGGTGGATGGACTAATAGACAAGAAGATCGAATGGCACAGAGGCCATAGATCAGCACATCAACAGACAGCAGGCGCGATAGATGTATTCATGTACAAAAGCATGTATGCATGTGTGTGTGTGTATGCATGTATGTCTGCCCGTATATATATATATAAGCATATATAC